TGCCAGTCGTTCCCAACTGTAAAGGGCAGTGCCCATCTCCATTTCAAAGCTGAAGAGCCAACACTGTCTGAAGACGTCTCTGTGATCATGTGGCCGGCATGACTAAACATCGAAGGCGCACAGAACACTGTTTCCTTCCCACCAAAGTGGTTCCTATTTTTCTACTTGCATTTTTACATGCTTTCAAACTGCTAGGTTGGCAGAAGCTGGGACAAGGAACAGGAGCTCACTCTGTTACATGGTGCTAGGGATTCTAATAGCTGAACTGCTGACCTTTCTGATGGACAAGCTCAGCATTTTAGCCACTGAGCCACCATGTTTAATTACTATTCATAAATTTACATCTTGATCATCTTTTTTTTTAGCAGGGATTCTTTAATTTAACATAGATTCATGTTAATAGGCATCAGGAGCTTAATAGATTATGGCAGTTACAAGTTTACTAAAGAAAGAGGACAAAATTCTGGGGCTTAGGGACCCCATTTTGTGTTTGTTGCAATGGAGGGTCAGCTTACTAGTCATAAGGATGAAGAAATGCTTAAAGAATCAGAGGCAACGTGTTGAGAAACAGAAGAAAGATGGTACTTCTGCTTTTCTGTCTTGCTTATAGGTTTCCCAGATCTATTCAAAGAAGAACTGGCCACCTTAAGGGCAGAGGAGTAAACAGAACATGATCTAATAAAAGGAAGGATTGATAAGATTGCAAGACGAATTCATCAATAAACTACTACTAAAAGAGCAACAGTCATCTTACATGATTCGCTTCCCCGTCTTCTCAAGTTACCCATTCTACCTTGTCCTCCTCCTGAATTTCAGGAGCAGCTTACCTGTAAATCTTCCAGCTCCTTCACCAAGGACCAGGTACTGATGAAACTCTCATTCAGGAATGCAAGGATGGGCGAACTTTCCAGGACTGTTTCCCGGAGAGTTCGCCCTGAACCTGCCCAAAGAGGAACAACAAAAGAGGTTAGTGAAATCTTTGGATGAAACATAGGAACACTTAGGAGCAGATTTCTAAATCTTTAGGTAAAGTGGTTAACATTCATATCTGGTTTAACTTTCATCTCCTGGGATATCTCTTATGTTGGCCTTGCTGCAAACATTGACTTGGGTATTGAATAGAGCAGTGGTTCCCAAACTTGGCAACTTTAAGACTTGTGGACTTCAACTCCCAGAATTCTCCAGCCAGCAGAGAAGTTGAAGTCCACAAGTCTTAAAGTTGCCAAGTTTGGGAACCACTGGAATAGAGGAGTCAGTGGGCACTGTCAGAAAGGAAGGTTCTTGAGATGTCCGGTCAGGATAAGGAGCTCAATTTATCTTAAAGCAAGTTACTCTGAACTGGCTTAGTAGGGCACTTTGGAGTAAAGTCTTTGCCCAGAGCTTGGTGTGCAGTATTATGCCAATGGCTTCCAAAAGAAGCAGAAAGGGAGCATTGGAAGCAATGAGAGATAATATGCAAACTGAGCCAAAACAGACTACTGTACCAAAATCTCATTTGTTTTATACTGTTTCCCTGAAAATAAGCCCTGCCCAGATAATAAGCCCAATTGAGTTTTTGAGCGCATGCACTAAAATAAGCCCTCCCCCTGAAAATAAGCCCTCCCCCTGAAGATTAGCCCTCCCCTGAAAATAAGCACTCTCTGAAAATATTGCAACACAGCAGCAGCCACGAGGGGACCACGCTCGCCGCCTCCTACATCTGAAAAATAATAAGACTCCCTGAAAATATGGCCAAGTGCTTATTTCGGGGGTCAAAAGAAAATAAGACCCTGTCTTATTTTCGGGGAAACACGGTAAGTGTTTGAACGTACGCCCTTCTATCCTTGAGTTTCCTCTTCCTATCTCAGTTTGCAACTTTTACCTTCCTGCCTGGTCTCAATTTACTTTTTAAGTTCTTCAAAGCATGGCTTCCTTTCGCTCAATATAAGCACATTAGACTAAGGCCGGGATTTAATTCAATTCAATTCAATTCAGCTTATTACAGTCATAGACCAGAGACAACAACAAATAAAAACACTCAGTAAATGTACAATTAAGAATTCTAGTATAAAATAATAAATAACAACTAAAATCTATGATAAAATCCACTGTCAATTATGCATGGTCTAACTCAGGGGTGGGTTCTGGCTGCCATTACTACTGGTTCGGTAGTAAAAAAAAATTGTGCGTTCCGCGCGCGTGAACATTTTCATTTAAAACATTATGCGCATGCACACAACATTAAAAAACAAATAAAATTTACATCTTTTTAATGATGATCGTTCTGCGCATGTGCAGAACAGAAAGTCAAGATGGTGCCGCCGATCATAGAACCGGTGTGGTCACGTGTCTGCCAGAGTTACTACCTCTTCGGCGGAACCAGACTGAATAGGAACCCACCTCTCGTCTAACTATACTAAAATTACAACCCATAAAATGTATGGCCCATTATCAGATTAATATTAAAAGGGAAAGGAATAAGCAGTGCTGATATAAAAATCTCAATAAGATATGTATGAGTACAAGCCAGCATTTCTCAATCTTGGTAGCTTGGAGATGTGTGGATTTCAACTCCAAGAATTTTGGGAGTTTTTTTTCCCCATCCACCCCATGTTTTATTTTTCTTTTATTTATATAACATTCAATTTCCAACAAACAGGTGTGTGATCTGGGTACAGCTATTTTTAAACAGTCATAATCCATCTCTTTGTTGTAGTATGCATCACAATAATATTGTTAACAATATAATAACAATAATACTTAACATCTTCTTTAACAACTCTCCACATTAACGTTTCCTCTTTTTATGTTGCCTCCTTTCTAACTTCTGTTTCTGTTGTCTAGCCATTGATAAAATGCATCCCGTATCAAAAAAAATATTTAGTTTCTTCTTTATCCTTAATAGTGAGTGTTAATCTATCCATTTCTGCGCATTCTAATATTTTCTTAATTCCATTGTCATCTGATGGAATCTCGTCATTTTTCCATTGCTGTGCAAATTCAATCCTGGTTGCGGTTAGTATATGTAAAACCAGATAGAATTCTGGAAGTTGAAGTCCACACATTTTCAAGCTACGGGGGTCGAGAAATACTGGCTTGTACTCATACATATCCTATGGAGATTTTTATATAAAACCAATCTACCACAAGATCCTTAACAAGTGAAGCACCTTTATAGAGGCTTTGCAAAATTAGGATTTCATGAGCTATGGAATTAAAAGTCAGGGTGTTAAAACAACCAGTATATGATGTTTACCTCACATGCTAATTTGCTAATATTCTCAGTAAGCATCCTCTAACATTTTTATCTTGGGAGGGAGAAAAAAACAGGCTTCCTGACAAACTCCTTTTTAAAAAAAACCACCAATGTCAAATTCAGTCTTTACCTCAGCATGACTGATCATCTAAGGCTCCCCACAAGAGTATAGAATGAACAAGTTTACCCTCAGATTTGGCCTTTTCGAAAGCCTGGGTAAAGGGAAAGTAGGAAACCTGAAAAACAAAATGAAGTGAATGTACCCTTCATTTGGGATGTTTGGCTCATGTATTTATTGTTACGAATGCTAAAACGTTAAAGTGTTCTATTCTTTATAGTATACTAGCTGATAATCCTGTGTTTCCCGGGTATTTATTTATTTATAGGGGGGAAATGTCCAGACCAAATGTAATTTCTAATGTTGGATTTTCCCCCTTACCAGAGGGAGCACACTTGTGGAGTACTGTGAAGCCGTTACCATGGCAACTCCACTGCGCTGTACAGTAAAGCCATTTTAAGGCACAACAGGCTGTATCTTAACACAACACACACTCTGAGAGGTTTTAGGGGTGTCTTACCACCACTATGTGTGTGTGTGTGTGTGTGTGTGTGTGTGTGTGTGTGTGTGTGTGTGTGTGTGTGTGT